CTAAATAGCTATATTTAATATCCAGACAATCCCCGACTGTTGCTGAATACATTGAGGATACATTTTCGAGTTTTTCATAGTTTATATGCCTCCGAGAAATCCCAGGCTCACATTTTATGCATGAAGAAACTGTTTACCATTATACATGGAGAGTTTTCAGCCCGGTTAAACGAGCTCAAATTGCATCACGATAATTTGCATGAGCAGTTTGAGCTCGGTCTGAGTTTAGTCAGAGCTACAGTATACTGTAAACCTCCGACTATAAGCCCCTCCAAATATAAGCCTCCCCATGTATAAGCCCAGGTGTGCCACATGTACTAACGCTCACCTCATTCCAAATATAAGCCTCCCCCCCCGTATATAATTCCCCCAAATGTAAGTTCCCTAATTAATATAAGCCCAGTAATCGCTGCTTAACCCTTTAAGCGGCAGTGTTGCAGATCTGCAACAAATAGGAAAAGGAGCATTTTTTTAGAAGTCTGGGGCAAGTGGATTCTTGTTCCCATGATGCAATGCAGTACGTGATATTTACAATGTGCTCATGGCGAAATACTTTACAGAAGTATATTTTATACTGAGAAAATGATGACCAAAATGCAATGATTTCGGTAAGTTTTACTACTCAAAGTTTGCCATAGTATTGTATCTTTGTTAGGCGCTTCAGGATATCTGTGTTGGTGTATTTTATTTTGCCATTTGGCAGCAATTTCATATCGTATTTTACTGTGTGAAAAAATTCGTTTATGTTCTTTGAATAATCCCACAAATATATTTGTTGCACATCTGCTACACTGCCGCGAAAAGGTCACAGTGGCTCAAATTACTTGAAGTTATATTGTGATAAATTTTTATATAGAATTACAATGTAGTATTCTTTAGTATTTATTTGTATGAAGTAATCAATTTTTGTTAGGGTTCAAAATTTTGTTTTACACTGTCATTGTGACAACACAATATGGCATCATTGTGTTATCACTACAATATTACTATGTTGCTACTTATTAGTAGCAACATTGTAATATTGTATTGATTATTTTAGATTTTATTACAGAAAAATGTCTAGAGAAAAGTCTAGAAAGATCAGTTTTGATTATGTTTTACCCTGACATTGTGTTATCACAGATTCACAATGACAGAATAAAACAAAATTTTGAACCCTAACAAAGAATGATTTTACTTCATACAGTAAATACTAAAGAATACCACATTGTATTTATACGTAAAAAATTATTACAATATAACTTCAAGTAATTTGAGTCACTGTGACCTTTCCGTGGCAATGTAGCAGCATAGCAAAATGTATTATATATAATATTGTTTGATATATTTTTCAAACTGCATATAGATTTGGTATCCATCGTTTCGCCCTCAAGTCGATTCGCCCCAAGTTGTTTTGTACCCCAAGTCATTATTTGATATCAATTCCCTGTGCGGTGATTATCAGGGGGCGAAACAACTTTGACATCCTAATGACTTGGGGATAAGACAGCTTTGATATCAAATGACTTCGGGACGAAATGACTCTGAAGGGCAAATCGACTTGGGGACGAAAAACAACTTGTATTGTAGATTTTATTATAAAATAAAATCTATATGCTGTTTGAAAAATAAATCAAACAACATTATATATCATAGATCTTGTATTTGTAGCAATATTGTATTGATTATTTTACATTTTATTGCAGAAAAATGTCTAGAGAAAAGTCTAGAAGGATCTGTTTTGATGATGCCTTTGATAGCATCTTGAATGGAAATGTGTCAGAATTAGAAGACCTAAGCTCTGATGAAGATATTGATGATAATGAAGATGTTGTGTCCTATGATGATGGTGATGATACTAGTGATGATACTAGTGATGATAATGGAAGTGATGATACTGGAGATGAAAGTGTGCCACAACCAAATCCTGATGAGAATATCAAGTTTCGGTGGAGATCAAAAGACCTGCCAACATCTGATGACAGGTTTAGTCCCGAAGTAGACAACATTGAAGAAACCAAGTTGCCTCTTGAATATTTTAGACAGTTTTGGACTGATGAAGTCATTGACTTGGTTGTGCAACAAACAAACTTGTATAGCACGCAGCAAACGGGGTCTTCAATCAACACTACGAAGCAAGAAGCAGAACAACTTACTGGCATGCACCTGAAGATGGGTATAATAAAGCTTCCGTCGTACAAGATGTATTGGTCTCAGAAAGTGCGATTCCCTGCTGTAGCTGACATAATGCCTTTGAAAAGGTATGAAAAAATTAGATCAAATCTTCATTTTGTAGACAATAGTTTGATAGGGGGAAATAGTTCTAAGCTGGCTAAGATTCAACCAGTAATTGACATTTTCCGTGAACAATGTGTGAAGATTAAGCCGGAAGAGAGTCATTTCGTAGACGAGCAGATTATTCCTGCAAAAACAAAGTATAGCGGGATTCGCCAGTATAACCCCAAAAAGCCTGTAAAGTGGGGTTTTAAGAATTTGGTCAGGGCTGTTGCTTCTGGCTTCATGTATGACTTCTACATCTATGCCGGTAAAGATGCGACTATGGACGAGAATGCTGACTTCAAGCACTTGCAAAAGTCTGCTCAAGTTGTTGCGCGACTTTGTCAGCATTTGCCATCGAACAGCAGTCATCAATTATTTTTTGATAATTGGTTTACCACCATGGATTTGCTTATTTACTTGAAAAATAAGGGCATATTAGCATGTGGTACAGTTCGCGCCAATCGATTACAGGGTTGCTTACTACAGTCGAACAAAGAAATGAAGAAAGCTGGACGCGGAACCACGGATTACAAGTCCGACACAACACAGGGGCTAATTGTTGTCAAGTGGCTGGACAATAATGCTGTTCACGTTGCCTCCAATTTTGTTGGTGTGGAGCCTCTAGGTTCTGTTGAAAGATGGTGCCCAGAAGACAAGAAGAAGAAGAAGATTCAGTGCCCACAGCTCATCTTGCGATATAACAAGTCGATGGGAGGTGTCGATAAGGCTGATATGCTAATATCCTTGTACCGAATCCGCACCAAGACCAAGAGATGGTACATAAAGATCTTTTGGCATCTGGTTGACATGGCAAAAGTAAATGCCTGGCTATTGTATCGCAGACACTGTGAAACCTTGGGAATCCCAAATAAGCGAAGATTGCCTTTGGTCGACTTCATCCTTGAAATTGCAGAAGGGTTGATAAATGCAAACAAGCAAGTTCCTGTTGAAACCTCCAATGGAAAGCCTGGCAGACCCACCAAGAGAAAGAGTTCAGTGCAAGACCCATCACGAGTGGCAAAGGTTGGCCGAAAACCCACCACACCTTCACCATGTAATGACTCGCGTTTCGACCAACTCGGACATTGGCCAAAACCCACAAAGGATAGTCGTAGTCGGTGTCGCCATTGCAAAGATGGATATTCAAAAATATTTTGTGCCAAATGTAACATTTGCCTTTGCTTGAGAGAGGGGAAAAACTGTTTTGTTGACTACCATTGTAAATAATTATTATATAGCCGTTTTCTAATGCTGCTAT